ACTCCGGTGTCTCAGATGCTACTGCATTCACCTCTTCCATAGTGGCGTGAAGCTGTCCAACCACACCAATCGGAAGTGCCACTGGCTCACCAGGATCGCCAAGGGAGACGGCCTTTTGCCTCCCCCACCTGCTGCGTCGATCATCGGCCATGCTAGTGAACACGACATAGGTTCCATGCTCTTCTGGGTACTCGTCTTGTATCGTGTCGACTGGTCTGACCGCCGGCTGCTGGGGCGGCGGAGGAGGCGGCTGCCCAGCAGGTGGGGGAGGCAAAAGGCCGTCTCCCTTGGCGATCCTGGTGAGCCAGTGGCACTTCCGATTGGTGTGGTTGGACAGCTTCGTGCCACTATGGAATTTGCAGGGTCCATCCAAAGTCTGCTCATATGAGAAAGCCGGCTGCCGGTTGGGCTTGCCGCCCTTCTGGCGTTTGGGCGGAGGCTGCCCTTCCGGCTGCTGGTCTTCGACTGTCGCCACCTGTCGACTGATGGAAGCCAGTTGTGGGGCTTTGCGCTTGTGGTTGTTTTGCTGTTGACGCCGACTGGCGTCTCCAGCCGGGGTTCGAGGAGCCTGAGGAGACATCTTGCATGTCGCACTAACTTGGATCTTCGTCTTCATGGAGGAGTCGGTCGTGGCATATTTTTCTGCTATGATCAGCAGCTCGTCGAGGGTCTTCGGCTCATCGCAGAGAAGCCTGTGCTTGAGGAGGGTGCCCTCTCGGCATCCTGCAGTGAACTACTCAATGACCTGCACCTCGTGCACGCCCTCGCAGGAGTTGCGGAGCTCGGCCCAGTGCGTGAGGTAGTCGCGAGTTGACTCGTTCCAGCCTTGCACGCACAAGGAGAGCTAGCGAGGTTTGGGTGGCCGCTTGTACGTGCTGGTGAAGTTGCGGACGAAGGCGTCGGTGAATTCGACCCAACTGTTGATGCTTCGGGGCCTCAAGCTGTTCAGCCATGTCCGGGCCGTGCCCTGGAGCATGAGCGGAACGTACTTCACGGCAACACGCTTGTTGCCATTTGCTATGCTGACGGCCGTGGAGTAGTCAACTAGCCAGTCTTCTGGCTTCACGGAGCCGGTGTATGTGTCTCTGGGGAGCGTGAACCCTTTGGGGAAAGGCTCGTCTCGAATGCGGGGGCCGAAACATGGCGGACCCAGCTCATCTTCTTCTTCAAGCGCGAGGGATCGGTGGAGACGGTCGATCCGGTGGCGGGCGTCATTCTCTCCAACTCCCTCTCGGCGGCCAAGGCGGTCGCCGAGTGTCGGGTGATCAACAGGCGGCGGGGAGACTCGCCTTTCCCTGCGAGGGGAAGGAGGCGGACAGTCGTCCCGTCGTTCCATTGCTCTTGGGCGGCCGTCTTGGTCGCGCTCTACGGTGATGCGAGCCCGACTGCGGCTGGCAGCCGGCTCCTTGTCCTTTCTTCCACGGACGCCACCAGTCGGTGTCCGAGATGTCGCGCCTTGGTCTCGGCAGGGAGGCAGGTCGTCATTCTGCCGGTGCGGCGCATTAGTGCGGCAACCGGCCTCATTCTGCTCCGCAGCCGCGTCAAGGAGTCGTTGGACGCGCTCAGTCATCAAGCGACGTTCTTCGCCCTCGAATTTGTCCAGCTCGTCCGCCGCCGCCTGGGCGGCTCGGATGTTCTCCGCAGGCATGGCGTAAACGGGGCAATTTGCCCCGAATAGTTCGGTGATGGCCATGCCGCGCTGCTGGACCGTGCCAAGGCGGCTAGGTTTAGCTGGAGCCGGCGTGCCGCCCACAACGCGGTCCATCTCGCGCTGGTAGGCCTCTGATAGGCGTCTCTTGCTGGCCAGCTTCTTGGCGCCTTCGACTAGCTGAAGGCGGCGTGCCTCCAGCGTCTCGGCGTCGGCGTCCTCGGGAATGGGCGCTGCCAGGTCTTGCAGCGCCGCGCTGAGCGGGTCATAATCACCCCCGCCGGAGTGCTCACCATGACTAATGACAAGCACTTCTGCGACGGTGCTTCCGCCGCTCTCCGCGCAAGGGAGCGGCTCGTCGTAGACCACCACATTGGTGGGGAACGTGTCAAGCGACGCGGTGTCGGAGTCGACCAACATCGGGTCGATGGAGCCTACGGACTCCAAGTCCCCAGCTGGCTCGCTGGCGACGTGGAGTTGATCGAGGAGGCCCGCGAGGAGGCTCTCGGGGCCGCCTGTGCCCGCGTCGGATGCGGGCTCGTCGGAGAGGCGGACCCCGCCGACAAGATCGGCGAGGCAACTGGCCGCGCATGCGATTTCAGCGCCATGCAGCGCGTCGGCGCAGACTCCGTCTGGCGTGCCGGGCTGGCTACGCTCGCTAGGGAGGAAAAGGGTTCCCGTACAGAACAGATCTCTGGACGACGGTGCACCAGGCCCCACGGTGGGCGCCAAATGTCGGGGGTTGGGTGCGACATATGCCAATGGATGGCTTATCATGGTGGGGGCGAGTAGAATGTCGCCGGTGCCCGGAAGCGGGATAAGGCGTAGACACGAACGCCGGCGTACTTTACCCAGTTTCAGGGATCTCCTAGGAGATAACACCCCTAGTCCTGCTCTGCGGGATCTCCGCATGATCACTACGCCAAAGTGAATACAAGGGTGCTCCTCGAGTTGTATGCTAGAGGTAGGAGAAGGCAGGGCTAGCTCTCTCCTCCCTCTATGATCTGGTCTAGTTCTAATGTGTCGGAACCCTTTGCATGGGTGCCCTGGAGGGTTTATATAGACCTACCCCCAGGGGTACAATGGTAAACTGACTGGGGCGCAGGGCCCAGCCATTAGTCTCTTCACCTGCCGGCCCTTCCGCCGACTGCTGGGGCCCGCTGACTGGTGGGCCTCGCCGACTGGTCTGGTACGGAGCCGACAGGCCGTACCCGCCGCTTGCGGGTCTTGCCGGCTGCTGATTACTGTAGTCGTGCTTCTAATGACGCAGGCTTGGTCATGGGGTCGTGGCTACAGCCCCGCCATCTGGCGGGTGATCACTGTAGCCACTCCCTGTCTCGTCTGGTTAATGGCGCGGGGAACCCGTGGGAGGGGCAGGCCGACTCCCGGGGGCCGGCTCCCTACGGGTCCGACTGGTGGCGCTCTTGCCGTCTTCTGGACTCTCGCTGACCGGTAGGGCCCGTCGTCCGTGGACCGTACTGACAGGCCGTCGTGGGCACAGGACTCCGCCCACTATTGCTGATGTCAGGGATGGCATGGCAACAGTGCCGCGCCAGACGGAGATCTCCGTTGGTACAGCGCACTGTGGCCTAGCCATCTCCTGAAAAAGGGGAAGGGAGTGGGCTTCACTGTTGCAACTCCCCATCCATCTCCCCTGACGAGGGCATGGGCTTTGTTGGTGCCGTGGGCCGACTCCCCGTGGCCGGCTTCTCTGAAAGCCGCCAGGCGGGAGTCGGCCGGTCTTGACCTTGCCTCTAGGACTCGGCTGCATGCGGGCAGCCGACTGTTCCTTCAGCCGTCCTCCAGAAGGCGGCTCTTCATCTGGCGTATCGAGGGACAATAGACCAGCAACGTAGCCGGCAGGAGACGAGGAAACCTAGCCTTTTCTTTTCTTGGGGAAGGAGACGTGGATCGTGCTCATAAGTCATAACATGGTTGATGACTCAGAGATCTCTCATAAGAGCACCTGGAGGCGGACTTGGTAAATTCACCCCCCTATACGCCAGTGGGGATGCGCCCACAGGCCCCTCATATGTTACGCCGCATATTCACATACCTCAAATGCTGATTCTCAAATCCATGCACGCCGATTATATGATACAAATAGTCTGAATTCAATAGTTTGAAACAAAGCAAAGCAAATTATAGTTCAACAAACTGGACATGCCAAAATAAAACAATGTCCGGGTGTGATGGATGGCTCGCTTGTCGGATCACTGGACGGATGCGGCCATCCATGCCGCCTGCTCCGAGCCTAGGCGGACTGTGTCCTGCTCATCCTGCTCCGCCTGCATCCGGGCCGCATGATCCACTGCCGTCCTCGCCGCCTCGTACTCCCTACGGACGAGGCGAACTGCATCTCCGTCACGGCGGTCGGGGACGGGCTGGACGATATCTACGGCGATGGATCGAGACCTGTGATGAGGATGGGGAGCAAGGGTGGCAGACGGCGAGTGCTCGAGCGCGGGAAAGGTTGGAGGGGGAGGGAGGAGGAGGAAGGGTTTGATAGATTTGATGCAATTTCCGATGGGGTCGGGCTGTCGGGTCCGACGTGGCGGGCGCGCCCCTTCCAAACCCGTTCCGTATTTGAGCATTTGAGGCATATTTAAGAAGCATGTCTAAGTCGAAATTCCGTGACAGGTCAATGACCGGATGGACCGTCCGAATGTTTTAGACGGGTTTGGGCCACCCGGATGTATAGATGCTCTAAAGGGGAGTTGGTACACTGATGCATCCGGGATTTTTCGTCCCACCGCGCACTCCCACAGACCTCATGTAGGCCGGCGCTAACACGCTCACGCCCTTCATGTATCCGTAATTTTTGGTCGATTGCCTTTCAAAAGAAAAGGAAAATCTTGGGCGATTGTACTGCGGAACTGTCTTTGTTCTTTCCTTGTACTTTGTGTTCAAAGCAATTCCTCGTTGTGGCCGATGCCTCTTCGTTTGGGTTTCTTGTGCATCGCGCGCCTCGCTTCCATTTTTGTCCCGTCTGCATGCGCTTCGTGCTTGTCGCTGCTAGAGTAGTATTTTTGTCCGCGACCTTGGCTTCGTCTCCATTGGTCCTGTTTTTGGTGCTCCATGGTGTGTTTTTTAACCTTCTTTCCGTTGTGATGGAGTCTCAGACAAAGCGAGACGGCGTGGATCAGTGGATCGAAATCAAGACAATGCAAACTACTAGTTCATCACAGGAGGAAATCAATACAGTTTACGGAGGAGTATATGGCATAATTATAATCACAAGATAGCATCGTCGGTACAAGGAGAAAAAAGAAAATTTCACTCGGTCAACACACAAACTAATCAAGCAAAAAGCTTCACTGCGCCTCTTATAGAACCAACTGCTTATAATGAACTAATAAGCCCTGTAGCCTGCAAAGAGGTTGAAGAGCGCCTCGTCGCCGAGGTGGTGCGCGGCGTAGATGAGGTCGATGGCGGCGTCGTGCGTCAGCCCGCGGACGAACTCGCCGTCGAACTCGCCACCGTCCGCGCCGCGCGCCTCCGCCTCCGCGCGGGCCTGGTAGTACGCGACCGCCGTGGCGAGGCCCTTGCCGGAGACCCCCCGCGGCAGCTCCACCACGCTCTGCCCCGCCTCCAGCGCCGCCGCGACGCTCCCCGCCCGCCGCGCCACCGACGCCGGCACCTTGAACTTGGCCAGGTCCGCGCACCGCACCAGCACCGTCTGCTCCTCCCCCGCCATCGCCGCCATCCCTCGCCGAGTTCGTTCGCTAGAGCTCTGCGTGCGCCGGGCTTCCAAAGACGATGGTTGGTTTTTCTCGCTGGGTGCCACGAGGGGCGGCGCGCGCGCGTATATATGGGTGCGCCGGCCACACGGATCGAGCCCGACTCGGTTGGTGGGAAGAGGACGTACGTGTCATGTGTTCGGATCAAGGTGTTGTAAAGGTTAGGCTCCGTTTCGTGGCGTGATCGGAAAAGCGGCAGCTCTGAGCCGATTTCTTTCTTTTGCAGCCCGTCTGTTTCGCCTAGGGTGTCCCCGTCCGTATCGATGATGCTTTAAACGTGCATGCCGTTTTTGCCCGGCCATTTTGGATTTTCCATTGCTTCAAGAAAAAGTTGCGTCCTTTCTCAAAAAGAAAAGGTTACATTCTCTCTCTTTTGGAAGGAAAAAAATATTTTTTTCCAGAAAAGAAATGATGCCCTTTCATTCCCTGCCTACTCAGCATCGTCTTCCTTATAGCATCTCCAGCCGCGCCCCCAACACACGACCCTCTCCAGACGTTTTTCAGTGCCAACGCCTAAAAATCGGCCCAGTCATGCCTCAGAAGCTTGTTTTTCATCGGCTTGGGCCGAAATTGACGTCGGCGTACTCAGGCCGAACCCGACGTGCTGGGGGGCGCCGGGGCGAGTGATTTTCATGCGAAAGAGCCGCGGGCCAGCCGCGTCAACGAGATGACACCTCGTCTTCCCCCAGAGCGCCTCGGTTTCCCGTGGGGAATCAATGGCAAGGCTGCCGCCGGTCAGCCTTACCATTGATTTCTTACGGGCGGCGCGGCGACACCTTCCCTCCCGCCACGCGTACACATGACGCGGGCTATAAAACCCGCCGCTCCTCGTCGTTGGCCACATCAGCCCGAGCCCAAATCAGCCGCCGCCGAGCCTCTGCTCTCTCCCGCCCGCGCCGCCGAGCTCTGCTATCTCCCCTGTCCTCCCCTTGCCTTCCCTCTCCAGCGATGGTCGAACGCTTCCCCGGCGACGCCGCGGCGGCCAACGGCTTCGGCCGCCGCTCGCTCCAGGAGTGGGGGGTGTGGCTGCTTTTCGAGGCCAACATCCCGGCGTCGCCGGACATGCGCGCCGGGCCAACGGGGTGGAGGCTCAGCAACGACAGCGTCCCCATCCCCCCGGTGCCCGACGTCGACGCGCGCCCCGGCGTCTTCGCCGTCGAGGTCGACCGCATGTGGTCATCCCTCACGGAGGAGCAGCGCACCCTCCCCCAGTACGCCGCCGACAACCACGCGGCGTGGGCGGACTACTTCCAGCGACGGCAGGCGCAGCGGCTGGCGTCCACGAACGGGACGCCGGTGGTGGGCGGCGTCAAGAACTGCGACGGCTGCCGTGTCTGGTGGGGCGTCCCGAGCCGCACGCTCCACGAGGTGCTGGAGTACCTCGAGGGCAGCATTAACCCGCGGCTAGCATACCCTGCCACTGCGGCCGTCCCGCCTCCCGCCGGAGCGCCGGGCCGTAGGCGTCCAGGAGGTTCGGTGTCGGTGTTCTGGGAACGGGGGTCCCCAGACTTGCCTGCCTGTGGCCTGCGGCGTGGCTCAAAGGGGGGCCCAGCACGGCCCATCTTCACCAACACAAACTCAAGACCCTCGCGAGGGGCCAAGCCTCGCGGGGCGGGCGACACGGAGCTTCCTCAGGCATGGCCTCGTCAGGCTGGCTCACGAGGAGGCGGAGAGATCAAGGCGGGGTACCTCGCGAGGTGCCCGTGACGCAAGCCATGACGACTCAAGGCCCCAGACGGGTGCCAGCCCGCGCAGCGTCCTTCTTTCCTCTTTGGTGCAAAGGGGGCAAGCGCAGCCGCGGAGTACCGAGGCATCAGGCAAAGGTCGCCATTTCGGTGCAACGAGACCAAGACCAGGAGGACTACGAGACGGAGGTCACCATGGGCCCCTGGATGGCGTCATCACCAGAGCTTTGCGCAGGCGAAGACTACTTTTCTCAGGATAGTTGATACTTGCTGTCCCCTTTCGAATTAGCCCGCCATTGTTGGCTCCCTTCCCGCTCAATATTTGGAAAAAGGATCAGGGCCTCTATAAATAGGACCGGCCACCCACGCAGCAAGGGGTTTGGCTCAGTCCCCTCCAAAGGTCGACCAGTTGGAAAGAGGGAGAGAGAGAGAGAAAGGTGGCTGAACTCCTCCCAGCGGTTCATCGCCCCAGCCAAGAACAGACCCTCGCGAGGCTGTTCTCCCTTGTATTGTTCATCGTCATCAGCCCAAGAGGCAATCCACACACCACACACTGGAGTAGGGTATTACACCACAACGGTGGCCCGAACCAGTATAAACCCTGTGTCCCTTGTGTTGTTCTTTTCATAGCCTTGATCCTAGCGTGGCGGAGGGATGCAGGTAGGTAGGAGGCGAAATCTCCGCGCGCACCCCAGTGTTCGAACCTCAAGGGTCTGCCGGAACCCGAAATCCGACATTTGGCGCGCCAGGTAGGGGTGCGCCGGAATTCGTCTTCCACCGCTCCGCTCTCCTCTGACCATCACGCTCATGTCTGACGCACGTTGGGCCCGCCCGGAGCGCCGGGCCGCCCTCGCTTCCCGCGTCGCCGAGATAACCCCTGTCGGCGGGCGTCCTCGCAGTTCCCCGTCGCCTGCCGTCAACGCCGCCACCGGCCCGGCGGGGGACGAGCAGCAAGCATCGTCTCAGCATCCATCCGTGCGCCAAAACGGCCGCACCGCGACTCCCTCACTCGCCCCGGCTGGATCTTCGTCCCGCACACTTCGCGCGCCCATGGAGGCTCGGGCTGCACTCATCGCGGCAAACGAGCTCCTGCGCTACCGTCCCATCGACGACGTCTACAAAGAATGGCTCGACCGCGTTGCCGAACTCGTCCGCGCCGCAGGGGGCTCCTCCGCGCCGTCCGCTCCGCTGCACCGCACCCCGCCCCACGCGGGCGACGAGGCTCCGACGGTGCCCCGGCCGCCTCCTCCTCAAGAAGACGCCATGGCTCCAAGACGCGTGGCCCCTGGGCGGAACCCGCTCCGTCAGGTGCTAGCGCGGCAAGAGCAGAGCTGCCAAGAAGTCCCTCGCCCGCCAGAAGCTGCCCGGGCACTCCCTGCTTCAGCACGTCGCGACCATCCTCCTGCCCTGGCGTGTGGGGACGTGCAAGACCAGGCTCTCCATCACCCAAGGCCTCCCGTGGCCACAGCAGGCTGCCGCGCCTACACCACCAAGCTGCGCAGCGTCGCGTGGCCAGGCAAGTTTCAGTCGGACCTGCCTCCTCGCTACGACGGCACGGCCGACCCTGCGGAGTTCCTCCAGCTCTACGAGCTGGGCATCGAAGCTGCCAACGGAGACGAGAAGGTCATGGCGAACTGGTTTCCCATGGCGCTCAAGGACGGGACCCGCACCTGGCTCCTGAACCTGGCTCTAGGCACAATCTCCTCCTGGGAAGAGATGCGCACCCGCTTCATCGCCAACTTCCAAGGTACTCGCGACCGGCCACCCGCCATGAGCGACATGCGCCGCATCAAGCAACAACCCGGGGAGACCCTGCAGAAGTACATCCAGCGCTTCAACAACGCACGCCTCAAGATTCCTAAGGTGATTGAAGAGGCCATCATCTCAGCCTTCTCCGACAGCGTGCGCGACGTCAAGATGAAGGAGGAGCTGGTGATGCATGAAGACCTGTGCACTTCTTTGGAGCTGTTCAACTTGGCGAACAAGTGCGCCAGGGCTGAGGAAGGGCGTCTCTCCCTCCTTGAGCTGCCTGCCGCAGACCCAGAAGAGAAGAAGCTCAAGGCCAAGGAAGTGAAGCGCAAGGGGGCTGCCATGCTCGCGGCAGAACCAGACACCAAGCGGGGCAGAGATCAGCCCAAACCTCCCAAGGGCAGCCGGTACTGCGTGTACCACGATCTCCACACCCACAACACCAGCGAATGCCAAGAACTCCGAGCCGTGCGTGAAGGAAGGATCGGCCGTCGCCCCGACCGTGGTGACCGAGGATACGACCGAGGAGGAGTAAGGAACGCAGGGCACTGGGAAGACCGTGGCCCACGCCAGGGGTGGCGCGACCAACCTCGTGAGGATCGCTGGCATGACCCACCTCGCGAGGGAGGCTGGAGGGATCAGCCTCGCAAGGATTGCCCGCAAGGCAACGCAGGCCTCCCACCGCTGCCGCCGCAGCCAAGGAGAAACGAGGACCGCCACCAGGACGAGAAGGCTAGGGTCTTCCAGGAGCCGCGCGCGATCGCCTGCATCCTGGGCGGAGCTCAGGCCCCATCCTCTCAGCGCATCTTCAAGCAGTTCGCCCGCGAGGTGAATGCAGCCCTCCCCAGGCTCGAAGCCACGCGCCCTCTCAGGTGGTCGGCGTGCGCCATCACATTCAGCTTAGCAGATCAACTCAAGTGTGCGGCTACAGCCGGAGTCCTCCCGATGCTTTGTTCCACAATCATCAGCAATGTGGTGGTCACCAAGACCCTCATCGACGGCGGGGCAGGGCTCAACGTCCTGTTCGTAGAGACATTCAAAAACCTCCAAGTGCCCTACAGCCAGCTTCAGCCAACCAAGCCCTTCTCCGGTATCACCGATGGCTCCACGGTCCCGATTGGGCAGGTCCGCCTCCCTGTCCCCTTCGGGGCACGCGACAACTACCGCACTGAGCTCATCGACTTCGACGTCGCTCACATCCGCCTGCCGTACAACGCCATCCTTGGGTACCCAGCGCTGGCCAAGTTCATGGCCGTGACTCACCATGGCTACAACGTCCTCAAGATGCCAGGAAGCGGCGGAGTCATCACAGTGCCCTGTGAAGAGAAGGACACGGTGTGTTCCCTGGAGCGAGCCTTTCAGGCCGCATCACTGGAAGACCCGGATCGCGGGAGCAGGAGGCTTCCCGAGGCCGCCCCCAAGAAGAAGAAGACGTTGTCCGGCCTGGCCCCTCAGGAGGCAGGCCCCTCTGGGTCCGTGCCTGCCCAGGGGGAACCTCCTTCCATCGCATAGGAAAAGCGCGCCCGGCGCCC